GAATTAAGAACTATAAGTTTTAAACTTTTGTACTGTATTCTGAGTATGTATTTCAGTAGCCCTTATCACTTTAAATTTTAATTTTAATTTTTAATTGTAGTTAAACCCGATATTTTTAGATACTTAGAATTGTTATTACATTAATTAAGGAGTATCTTGTGAGTTACACCAACTTTGGTTTTTCAAATGGAAACCTACATAAATTTAATGCAAATCAGATGTCAATTTTTTGAAAAAATTAGATAGAAATAAAAAAAAAATGTTCATTTTAAATTTTGAGTGTAGCAAAGAAATTATTGGTGTTATTAAGATGTTTATTTTTTTATTTTTTTTATCTTATGTACAAAAATTTGACCATAAGTAGTGCTCAGATATATAAACGTGGCACTATTTCTGATAGGGAATGTTAGCCATATGATACTTCTGGGAAGTCATTTTTTGATATTCCAAGTGGTTTTCATAATATCTAGGAAAAACAAGCATAAAAAGTATGAAAATCCGGCAATGTACACAATTAATGCTTTTATTATTTTATCAATTTTGTTTTTTTTTTTTTTATGCAATTGAAAATATTCTTAGAGACTTTAAATTTGGACAGAAAACTTATATTTTCCTTTTCTTGACGTGGTATAATTTTCAAAAAATTTAAACAATTTTTAAGCTAAATTAATTTCGGGAGTTTTGTATGTGATTTTTATTCGATAGTTACTCTGTGGTAAAATTGTTATTCTTAACAGAAATGCTTGAAAAAATAATGATTTTAATGTAGTATTTATTTTTATAAAAGAATTTGATAACCCATTTTGACGAAAATTGTCTGAGTAAAAAATTATGTGGAAAAAATCTAATTTTTCAATTTTTTTTCCCCTGAACAAATGTGTATTGCCGAATTAAGGAGGTTGGTAAAATCAGAATTGAGTGGATTGACTAAGTTTCGAAATTATAATTTTTTGAAATTCGGATATAATGCAGATATTACATGTTAACGTTACATAACTCTATTTATCTACTTTACTATAAGTTTGTTGTAGTCAAATGGTCATGAATTCTTATTGTCACACTAGGCGTCGCGGGTTCAAGTTTGGTATTTGAAAAGAAATTCTTTAAAATTTTTTCCCCTTTAACCTAAATAGGGAAATAATACCTAGCTATCGCTCGCTCGAACGATTTTAATCAAAAAAAACCCTTCGATTTGTTGTGCAGACTTTTCCACCAGAAATCTTGCTCGCATGTATCAAGTGTGGATTATTTTCTAAAAAAATTTAATCTCCATGGTTTAGGGAGTTCATTTTTGTGGTTTTTCAATGAATTTTCATATTAACTGGAAAAACTGGGATAAAATGTCGGAAAATGGAAAATGTACGAAATGTAAGTATTAGTAAAAAAATATTATGGCCTTTTCACAACTTTTCTACTAGAAATTATTCTCCGATTTACAATAAAAGCAGTTTTTCTGAAAGTAAATCTGGCTGGGAAGGTACTTTAAGGATGCCATTTTTTGATTTTCCACGGAGTTTTCTCAACAAATGTGAAAAACTGAAAAAAGGGAAAACAATTATTAAAGAATATATTTAATGCCTATTTAATTATTTCACCATAATATGACATATATATTGTTAACAAAGCATCACTATCAACTGAACTGTGCTCAGAATCATTTTTTCGTTAACAATGATTTATAGTTGCTTACATATATACATTAAATTACCTATAACAGTGGCTGCACCCGTCTTCATTATCCTAGGACGTCTTTTTAGTCTTGTTGGTGATCAAGAAAAATGTTTTTATTTTTATTGTAGTTTTTTTAAATAGTTGAGCAAAATCGAAAATACGTCGAAAAAATGTGAAAATTAACGAAAATTGATTAATTTATAAATTTTAATTTTGTTTTCTCTTTTTGTAATTCACTTTAAAATCACTTCACTCCGGATAATTACACGTTAGCAATGATTTATCATTGGTTACAGGCAGAGATTGAAACTGAATCCAAAAGAACCGGTTCTGGAACTGGATTTAATACATTTAGCTATCTTATACTACCTATTTTCTACGAGTCTACAAATATATTTTATCAGGATGTAGATTTATTTATCGTTCACTACACGTACCTACCTAAATTATTGTGATTTAAAATCAATATTTTATTTAATATTTGTTTATAAAATAATATTAGAGTAAGTTAAATTTTTAAGCTAAGGAACTATATAACTGTCTAACACAAATTAAACATATTCACCTGTGTAAAATGTGCATTGACTTACTGATTAAATAAGAATATATAATTTTGAACTTTAATTTACAACAACTTAATGCAGATAGTGTTTCAAAGTATGAAATATTATTATACAAATTATCATACATTATAATATAAGCTTATCTGCTTATTTATTATAGGAACTTTTTGATATATTGATTTATTTATTTGATTAAATATTGATGTATTTTAATGAAAGTTAATACTTAGGTCATAGATTTTATATTACCTAATAAAAATTAAAATATCAACTGTTTGATCTTTATTATAATAATGTATCTATTGTCTTGTAGAAATTGACTTATCTAAATATGTTGGTACCCGTATTAATAATAGTATAAGTACCAATAGAAATATCTAAGTAATTATCTTCTTTTAATTTTGCTGTAAAATATGAGGTTAGTAATCGATTTATCAATGGTAATTGATTAATGGTTGAACTCTCATCTAATTACAGTTTAAAATAAGTAATTCAAATGTATAGATATTCTTTTTTAATTTTAATAAATATTATGCAGCTCAATTAATATAGTATTGTGTACAATATGCATATCTAAGGTTTAAGGAATCATTTGAATATTTTATGTTTAAGGGAAATCATGGGTCAAACTTCAAAAAACATTTGAAACTACACAATGACATTTATGAAAAGTATTTAATCAAAGAACTTGACAAATCTACAGACTTAAATGTACCAGTTAAAACATCTAATGTAGATTTATATCAGTTTTTAAACCTAATAGTAAAAACTGACATGAAGACTTTAATTAATGCATGTGTTAAACTAGTAACTGTCCATAAAGTATGTTGGATGATTCTGGGTTTCAAAATTTATAAATCCAATTCTAAGTGGTATACAAAATAGTGTTGTTTTGAATTTGAATTTCAATAAGTGAATTTTGTTAACTTTTTATTTAAAAATTCACTTTAATAATTAATTTTTATATAGGGTGATTTTTTTAAACTTGTTCACCTCCATTTTCCCTGTTAAAAATTAATTCTTCAAATTCTGATTGTTGAAATTTTTAAATATATGTAAGGACCAAATTTTAAAATTCAAGACGATTTTTAAATGTTGATGTATCTAAATCGAAATTCTAATGAGTGGTTTCTGAGTTATTAAAATGTTTATGTTAAGGTTAAATTTATTTTATAAGTTTAAATGATTTTACAGAAATTTAAACTAAAGGTAATATTAGATCTAGTATTTATTTATTATACAATAACTATTTTTACAAATTATATAAAATATTGATAAATTTATAATATAGTAAACTTTTCAAATCATAACCCCCATTTCTTCCTAATCCATAACCATAGACATATTATCCTAAGTTCATAAAGTTAAATAGGTAACTCAAAAACTATTTGTTTAAATTCTTAATTTAGTTGTCAGCTAAATAATTGAAAATGACAAAGAGGGTTCCTATCTGAAACCCGATTTTGACTGGCCACATGATCATTAGAAGATACACAAAATCAGAATTTGAGTACATTTAAAATTAAAGCATAATAATAATTTGAGCCTTTTAAAAAATCATCCGGTACAGTAAGTACGGTAAGTAGTACTTAATTATGTTTTTTTACTCCTTATTTACGGTTTTTTTTTTTTTTTGGAAATATGTTTTTAATAAAAGAAATATTAGAAGATTTGCTTTTAAACTTACTTCTCTGATAGTTGATACTTTTACTTGTTATAATAGAGCACTTTTTGGAACTAATGGGCAGTATATAGTAAATAGTTGTATTAAACTTAGAACTATTGGGCTCATTAAGTTAATTGAATCACACATAGACAATTTAACAAACTCTAAAATTATTACCATTAATTTTTTTTATAATTTTAACTTTTTTATATTTAGCTTAATAATTTTTTAGATATTTATTTAAAAGACACAATTCTTAAGGTTATTAAAAAGTTCAACATTGAGCCTCAGCAAATAAACACAATAACTTCTGATAATGGTGCAAACATGTTGAAGGTTCTTAGTTTATTTGAAAAAGAAACTTTACAAATACCTGATGAATTAAATAATAAAATTATTGATGATATTTCTGAGAACGATACTGCTCTTGATAATACAGTTGAAATATTGAATTCTAACAATAATTCAGACATTGATGAAATGAGGTATAATATATTGATTTATAGATACATATATTTATTTAATAAGTATATCAACAATTATAAGTTACAACTGGGAGTAAAGAAATCATTTATATATTTATATTTGTTTCAATAATATTGGATTGACACGAGAATGTATTATTGTTTATTTTTTATGGTAAAGTTACATAAATATTATTTTAAAAATAGTGAAGTATATTTACTATATACTAAATGTTCAAGTTATAAACCAAATTTTTTTTTTATAAAACTAAACAATATATCATCAGTGATCTTTTAATATCTCCAATAATATAATTTTAATAATAGTACTTACATTCAGCCTACATGTATTTAAAATAATTTATCTTGATCAATTTAAATTTTAATAGTATATGGTTAATCCATATACTATTCAAACAAATTTTATTTTAATGGTACTATTTTACATTTAATATAAGTAGGTACTTACTATTTTTTTATTTCAAAAAATAATATACTTAGTTAAATAATATTTATTTAAAATATAAACACATAAATATATGTACAACATATTAAAACTTATAACAGGACTTACATGATAAAAAAATTGTATATATGTTTCAGTAATATTGATCCTGATTCAAATTCTCATACTTTAAATAAAAATCAAATTTCTGAGTTACTCAGTGAAGATATTGAAAACGTTGGTGATACTTCAATTTTTACTTGTAAATATATATACAATATATATATAATTACAAATATCAAAATTAGATAAATAGGTTAGGTGATTTTTAAGCATGCTCAACCCATTTTTTGGGTTAAATTTTACATATATTTTAATTCTGATTTTTGGAATTTTTAAGTGCAGTAAAAACCATTATTTTCGAATACCTTCTTAGATTTTTCACAACTTTGAAGGTGTGATGATATCAACTTTGGATTTTCAAATGAGAATATGTTTTTAAGCAAATTGTAAATCGGGTGATTTTTCTGTAATTGTTGACATATATCACCCTGAATACCTTAGAGATTGTTAAATAAAGTCCGAGTTACAGTACGGAAATTACATAATTCAAATTATATTTATTTAATAAAAGAGGAAAAATTAAAAACACCTGTACTAGATTGTTTGACACGCTGTAATTCTACCTTTGATGTGCTGGAAAGGTTGCAATGACTAAAAGATTTTATTAAAAATATGTCAGTTAATCACAAAAAGTTTAGAAAAAGTTTCTTTAAGTAACTTTGATTGGAAAAAGTTGAATTTATCTTGAAAGCTCTGTTACCAGCAAACGTATATTCAAAAAATTACAAACCGAACAGATAACTATGACAGGTATATATGTAACATGGATCTCCTGTAAGATTCAAACAAAAGCATTGAATTCATACTTTTTTAATAAATTAGTACAGTTATATAGAGAAATAGAGAAAAAATTATTTTAAACAACCAAGTCTTATTTGCAGCCATATTTTTAGATCCACACTATAACATTAAATTGAACAAAGACCAGTCAACAATTGTAATTCGGCATTTTACCAACATTTAGATTTGTTTAAAGAAAATGGAAATCAACAAACCAGAATTAATTTCTATAGCCATCGAGTCATTAAAATATTAGTGGTGGTAATAATTCAATAGATCCTACAGATGATCATGAAACATATTTGAGCCAAATTAATGATGATAAATCTATGTCTTCCAATTTTGGTAGTTTATCAAATTCCCAAACTGAAACTATTTTAACTAAAATTGAAATACTTTTAAAATCATTCATTATTGAAGAGAAAAGATTGAGCCATAAAACAAATATTCTTCAATTTTGGAAATCTAAAAATTTTGTTTATCCAAAATTTTTTGAGTTGTCAAATATAATATTTAGTGTTTCAGCAACCCAAGTGAGTGTGGAAAAACTATTTTTTGGCCATTATGTACATTACGGTACATTATAAGATGTGTACAACAATATCTTTTGCAGAATTTAACGCCTGAAATTATTTTAACAGACTATGAAGCAGCTCTGAGGGATCTTTTGATTTCAACATTTCCAAACGCTGGTTATGTAGGGTGTTGGTTTCATTATAATCAAGTAAATGTATATTGATTAATACAAATATATAGAATATTTTATTAATGATTTATTTTACCCTTTTAAGGCTGTATGGAGGAAAATGAAGAATTTAGGATACTTACATCACGTCAATAGAAATAAAAATGCACGCAAAACATTAAAACTTCTTTTGGCTCTTCTATTGTTGCAAGCTAGAGTTATGAAAAGTTGATTTGCGTAAATTTGTTCATTGACAAGAAACCATGAAGTCTTTTTGGAAAGATTATTAAGATATTATGACAGGTTTTTTTTTAAATATTAAATATACCATAATTAATAAAATAATAGGGTAATTACAAAATTATTAAATGGTTAATACTAGTAAATAAATATATAAACACAATATTATATATAGAAATATAAAATTAATTAATTAAATGTAATACTGTACAATGAATATCATAATACATTTTTCTTAATTTTATTGTGTATGTTTAATTCTTCTAGAACTGAATTAATGTAAATGTTATTTTGGGTATTTAATATTTCAAAGTCTGTATTAATATCAAAATTTATATTATGGTTATTTTCTAAAACATTTTTAGCTAAATTTAAATTGGGGTGTCTTTTTAAATTTTATATCAGAAATGTGTTATTTATATATTACTTTAAAATTACTATTTGTATTTCCTATGTACAATTTATTACAGTTACATTTAAGTTTATATTCACCAGCATTTTCAAAAGAAGGGGGATTTATAAAATAAATAATAAATGATTATTTTTTATAACTGATAAATAAAGAACTGTACATTTTTATAAGTCTTAGGCAAACTGTTACCTTTAATATGCACCAAAATTTAATCATATGGATTTAAATAATTTAAAAATTGTTGTTAATATTGTAAGTAAATAATTGTTTGTGCTTTGTATTATATACAATTTATACAATAAATTTTATATTTTTATATGTATTTTTTTTTAATTTTAAATTAATTGTATAGTAAGTTTAATTTATTTATAATGTAAGAATACATTTTATTTTTGCCTAATTTATAGTAAAAATTCTATTAAAAAAAGCTAATTTTAATTCAAAGGTAATACTTATAGTACAAAGTGCCAATAAAATATGTTGACTAAAATAGGGTACTCTGAAAGTAATGTTTAAATAATAATCATCAATACTGTACTAACATCAACTTTTATTATTACTAAAAACAAGTTTCTATAGATTATATACAGATAAACTTATTGACTAATGTTAAATGTATTGAAAGGCATCACAAAGTGAGCAGTCCCCTAATTTTCTAATAAAGTGGAAATAAATATGAAGAATACATAACACACATATTCATTAAAATACTTTTCTATCAAATATAAAATAAATACAATCTAGTAATTTTAAATTTCGGTAGCATTAATGTAATAATATAGCTAATCCTTTTTTTTAAATTATATTTTGGATTTTTTCTGTAAAACCTTTAACTAATAACTGACTTTAGTTACATAAAATATACATTTAATTTTATGAATAATCTGTTCTATTTTTATATATACATTTCTTTTTCTAATAAAGTATGAAAATCACATTAGTAATCTAGAATAAATCAAATTTCTTTCATTATTATAATAAATATGATTTAAGAATTCACTTAATATTGAAGACCATAAATAAGTAAACATCCTCACTAAAAATAAACAAAAATTATGGATAGAAAATGTAAATATAATTGCAGTTCAAAATACACACAAAGTATAATTAATATTTAATAAAATAGTAATCACATATCAATTCAGTTGGTAATGAATATTGAAATAAATTACAAAATATTAATACTCAGTAGGAGAATGCACTTTTTGCTAGCATTGAAATTAATTAATTTCTTCCAAAATAGGAAAAGAGGTATGGGATATGGGGTAGCCAAGTACATCCTCTCAACTTATAGTATGACATTTTGGTAATATAATATATGGAAATCTAAATTGAATATTAAATTAAATGTTTACGTACAATTATAAAAAAAATATTGAATAAAATATTAATTGCTACTAGATACTAATTATAAATGGTATAATTTAATAATATATTATTATACCAGTTACAACTTACAATTTGACTATAATTTTTAAGTATGAGTTATTAGGATAAACAAATATTGTAGGTGCAATTTGAAGAGTAAAATTTATATACATATTAAATGTTAAGTTTTTTTTTTTTTTTTTTTTGTAGTCCAAGTTTTCCAAGTTTTCCAAGTCCAGTTTTTTTGTTAGTAGTTTAACAATCCAAAAAGTTAGCTGCCATAAGTAATTCCAAAGCAATCTGTGGTTGAATAGGAAATTCTGGTATTTCAGTGGGACTGTTTGTATAACGAGCTTTGTAAGTAAAATACAAACAGACTTTTTGCAAAACGTGTGAGCTACAACAATCAAATTACTATTAGGACATCTATTATAAACATTTATGTGATGACCATTTACGGTATTTCCCTGAAGTTTATTTCATTGGTTTCATTTTCTGCAAACTGCCCTGGACCGCTTAACATGGCTTTAATAGTGCCAGACATTATTGCTTGTTCTCTTTTCACAATAAATTCATGTCCATCACTGGATATCAGTTTTATATACATGGCATCAGGACCCTCACAACCACCATATTCCGCATTCTCCTCATCCTATCAAAAATACACACAAAAATAAAACAGTACAATCATATATACCTATATATAAATATATTTCTTTTTAATTGTATTTCATATATGTAAAGATTTTTTTTTTTTTGTATGTCATATTGTATCTTAACTAATCTATATTTACCCATATAATATGGACTGTAAAACCAGTAAAACTAAGTAATTCTGTAATTGAGTGTGATTGTGTTATTGTTAAAGGATTATCCAATAGATAAAAACTAAATCGTTAGTACTTAGATACTTGTGTTATCCGTACCAACACAATTTGTATAAATATATTTTTCTATTCATTATCATACATATCAGTTATATACCTATTTCGTAGTGTGAACAGAAATCGTATCAACAGCAGAAAGTTAATCAATATTCTATGGTTCGTCTTCGTTTTTCTTTTACATTTTATAATAATTATTAAACATAAAATGTTGTGTTCGGTTTTTGGTTGTTCGTGTTATAGAAACAAAAAATAAAATAAGAACCTCCATTTTATAGGTTTCCAAAGCATGGAAAAATGTCCACAAAGATATTTAATTTTTGTAAACGTAAACATCTTATACCAGTAAAAAGAAATAGAATATGTTTGTCCCATTTTAAAAGTAACAATTTCAATGATTTTGATGTATTACATAAACAACTTACGCTAGACACAAAAGTAGTGATCAGATTAAAATCTAATGTATTTCCTACTATCTGAACTAAACTTTTTGGAAACACAAAATTACTTCTACTTGGGTTCTTCCTATCAGGTAAAAATAGGAGATATAGAATAATTGGGTTCAACTCCATCACCAACATTTGGCTCAAAACTGTACAGTTTTAAAGACATTTTAAAACACAAAACATTTGACGTATGATAATAAATGCAGACACAGAGTGCCTATTTTGCAAAAAATTTCAATACCCTACTATTAATGATTACAGATAACGAAATAAAACGAATTTAAGAAAACTTATAAACTGCATTTGCATTGTTATTAGTCTGTGTTGATATATGAACAAACAAAAAGATATATAAATATATTATGAATAAAATACCAACTTTAACATTTATTATTTTAATGAACTGTTTGTATCAGGTTATAGGAAAATATCTAAGCTTTTTTAATATGAAAGCCACTTATCATTTTAAGTATTTTAAGTTAATACCTATATAAAATATATATGATTATAGACCCGTCTAGGAAATGATTGTATTGAAATAAGCGGGTGGAAAATCGATGGAACCTGTGACATCACGCATCATTTTAATACCGCGATAATAACCGAACGGAATGATGCAATTTTTACCAAATTTCATTATTTTTTTCGTTTTACAATATTTTATAAAAAAAATGTATTTTCCTTTAGATGGTCCTTTAATATCATATTATTGTTACCTGTCCAACTTCGGCCATGTTAACGTTCATGTTCTCAGATATCGTGGTAAGCGGAATGGATGAACAGTGAACTATCAAAAACCAACAAAACAACAATAGGTATAGGACTAATAATAACAAGATTAATTTTCTTAGGGCGAAAAAACACGAAAAATGAAAATGAAACGTTCAACGTTATCTAGCTATCATCTAGATTCTAGCCTGTTTGACTACGTCATTATTGTGTGTTGTGTATCAGTGTAACCAACATAAGGATACTGGAACAAATATCAAATGATTTTGTCATAGGCAAGGCGGAGAATGATGCTGATTTAACTATAAATTATATTTGTGTAGTGCTAGGTAGAGAACCTAGATATTAATACTACTTAGATTATTAGACCTGCAACTTGGTAATGGAATCCATGCTCTTAAAGACCGGATAGGGAATAGTTATGCACATGTATCACTATCTAGCGGATAGTTGACTAGTTAGATAGGAATGTTTAAAATTGTTATTTATTAAGCGGGGAACTCAATCTGTAGCTGTAACATTGTAAAACCAATAAATTCATCTCCCCGCCTCTATCTATAATATAAACAAAAATTGCACCAAAAGTTATAAACTTGTAAAAACAAAAATACTATATTGTTAAGTATTTTAACTCAAACGATACCTTGCCTATAGTATTTAAAATATAAGCCATTGTGTTCATTATTTAAATTTTTTACTTATAAAAAAATAACTCAAAAGTTGTTTGTTGTTTTAGACTTTGCTACTTTTAGTCCACGTCCTAAAATCGTGCCAGGGGCATAATTTAAAAAAATATAACACCCAAAAATAATATAAATAAATTGTATAATTATTTATTACGAGATAATATCATTGCCAACTTATAGATTGTCATACTACGTTGTTGACAGACGGCAGCACGACTATATAGTATATTGGAATTCTCTGTCCGATTAATAAAAACACGGGTGATTACATGTTAATCTCATCGAGTTCCATATAGCTGCCGCGTACTATCTAGACTCTCTAGTGCTATATCCCCCTATTTGAATATTTGATCCCCTCTGTAATATTATTTATTTATTTAATATTTTATCTGTTATTTGTGTAAACTAATATGGACTAGACTAACCAATCGAAATTATAATAAACGGTACGGTCATGATATAATTATATTATGGGTACGATATTGCACTGGCGAATTTTCAGTGTATGCCTTAGTTATAGTATTTTATAAACAAGTCATTTTGGCGCGTGCATAGCGAACGTGTTCGCCGTTTTCTTGTTTTCATGGAAGAACCGCGCAATTTTTCTCTCAGCTCTCGTACCCACGTAGTGCTTACTGTATAGTAGACAATAGTGTAAACAGTAAACACTGCAAGCGCCGATTCCAGCGTCTAGCGTGTGGGACATTACGTCGTGTGTCGGGTTATTGGTTAGTTTTAATAAATTTTTTCATAAAGACTGTGCGTTAATAATTTTTGATAACTAGTACATTTAATTTGTACATTGTACATTGTACACGTATTACGGATTAAAGTGGTCATAAAAAGAAACGGAGGTGAGTAAATTATTTTATATGACTAGTAGGTATCAATACAATTTGTGATTGTATTTACTCATACATATTCAATCAAAATGTCTTATTATCATCGTTTTGTAGAATTAAATGCATTCGAATAAATGTACTCAAAACTATATACTAGTAAAACTACTATGTTAAAATATTTTCAAATATAATTTGTATTATGTAATAATTATGGTTCAGGACTTCTTGCATTTGCATTTTTTTCGTAGCTGTCGTAAATTATGTTAGGTAAGCTGTAAATTTATTTTTATGGAATGCCAAAATTAAATACAAAGTTTGAATTAGCATATTATCGCATATTTTATCATATTTTAAGAAAAGTACTTATTAGAGTAATTTTTACTATATTTGTGTATATTTCGTATGTTTTTAATTTGTATGTAACTAATATTGTCGGTTAAATCATATTTGGATAACATTAAAATATATTTATTTTCGATTAAATTACTTTGGGGTAGGTAGGTCGTAGACTCGTATTTGCATGTCTCTACAAGTCTCTTTATCCTTGTCAATTATAAAACACTAAATTACCTCCCTAAGAACATATAATATTTTTCGAAATTTCTTTTTGTATAATTTGAGATACTTAAATTTTACATGTGGTTAATCTAACCTTCCCTTATATTTGGTGGTAAAAGTTAAACCACTAAGTACCTATTGAATTTTGATTTTTAAATTGTAACCAGTAGTTTAAAAATTTGACAAAGATATGTTTTAATTATTAAAGATTTTGATGTTGATTTGATTTAATGTTTAGTTACTTAACTATATGAATTTTAAAAGTTACCTACGCCTTTATTGAAGAAAAAAAAAAATTAATAAATATTAAATGTCTTCAGAATATAATTTAGATACCTACTTAATATTATGATTATAAATATTTCTAACAGGTTATTTTAAAACAAAATTGTTTATAAACTAAGAGCCCATTCTCACCAACGTAAAAATAGAGTGTTTATCTGATTCTTAAACTGAGTTTATGGCTGATAACTGACCATGATTGGTCGATTATCTTATAAACTCTGTTAAACTCAACATTTACGTTGGTGAGAAGGGGCCTTAGTGAAATCTACTATCTCATACAATTTCAAACACTCTGTAGGTTATATTATTATAATTAATTTTAATAACGCACATATTTTACAGTTCAGCCATGTACGGAACTTCTACCAACTTTGCCATCAACAAATTGAATGCAACTACGAGGTTTCTACAGTTACCTCAGCCAGAAAATAAAGTACAAGTCACATATGTGTGGATTGATGGAACTGGTCAAGAACTTAGAGCTAAATCCCGTACATTAGACTTTGTACCGACTAAAGTTGAAGGTATGTATCGTGTGTACACATCCTATTTGATATAGTTAGAAATATACAATACTCTAGTACAAAAAATATCAACACATTTCTAATATACTTACTGATGTGAATTATTCTAAAATTATTGTAAATGTATATAAAAAAACTATTAAAATAATTATTTCCTCAGTTACCTATTTCTAACTAGGTCAATCTGTTGAAACCAAAGTTAAAATTTTTATTTAAAGCTTAGGCTTTCCACATGTGGCTAAAATGAAAGAAAATAATCAATTCCTCTAAATATTATTTTCTGAATATAAATTTAATAATAAATAGATAAAAAGTAAATTGATAGGTAATTATGAAAAAAAAAGGTATGATACCAATACATAATAACTTTCAAGCATGAAATGAATAAAACAAGTTCTGTTTTATTTTATTCATTTATTTATTTATTTGTGGGGAAAAAAACCTTTATTTTCAAAATCTTAAGCATAAATACAACAGTAGTAGGTATAAAGTGAACTATAAATATGTGTATAACAGGATAAGAATAATTTATATAAAATACAAAAAGTAATATGAATTATAATAATAATAATAATAATTACAATTAATATAATAAAACATAGTATATAATTTGGTTACATAATAAGATTAAATCAAATTACAAATTTGTGATTTCCATTCCTATGACTTGAAATGTTGATAGAAACCTTATATTTCTCTTTTATAGACATGGTAAAATTTTAAATTTTCTATTTAAGTCACTTTTAAGTTATTAGACATTTTAATTTTGCAAATATTTTATTTTGTAGGTTCTCTGTAGATACAATTGATAGACCAAACAGAAATGCTTGATAATTTAACAGGAGGTTCATTATAAGTTTTACTTAGTGGTCAACAAGAAAAAGTTGAGTTTAAAGTAATCATTTTTTTTTTTTTTTTTTTTATAAGAACTTTAACGCCAAAATTTGATGAAAATCGTAAATATTACAACCTTTTATACATGTATAACCAGAATCGTTTTTGTTAACAAAAATTAATCATTGCGTACAGACATACATTCAATTTCCCTCTATATTCTACCTTCTCAACTTCTCACCTATAAAAATAGTCCACCTATTGTGCGAAATATGTCCATCTTTTTTCCATGTTTTCTACTATATTCATCATAATAAAAGTTCAAATTCATTATATATACAATAAATTATGTATGATAAGGTCTTCATGCAACTAAGTATAATAAAGGTGAATATATAAGGTGGACCAGCTAGGCAAAAATAATGACTCATATATTTATTACACCAGCTATTTCCATCACTCGAGTGCGCTGTTAATAATATAAAAACCAAGCGATTTAACTTGATTTTGCCTTTTTAAACATTATTATTATTTGTATTTATCTTTATTTGACACATTACAATGTGCCTCTACATTATATTAATAAATAACAAATAACAAAAAACTCTTAAATTGTTAATTTTTTAGTATTAGGTACATTGATAATATGTTAAGAGTAAAAATACTAAAATTAAAAAACTCCTACCTAAAGTCATGTTATTATAAAAGAACAAATATGCAAAAATTATATTTTATTTTAAAAATAATCACTTATTAGTAAAAAATAAATAAGTTGATATTTTTTTAATCGCATTCAGCATTATTTTTATCATCAATATCTTTATTTTTTCATTTCATATTTTTTGCAAAAATTATTCTAGTTGTCAGGTAAAACTTGGTAATATGTTTAGAAAGCTGAAGTGAAAAATGGGAAAATGTACAAAATGTAGGTATTAGTAAAAATATATTACAGCCCTTTTTTTTCCTGTGAACAATTTTACTCCAATTTTCAATTATATTTTTAATTAATTTTAAGACCATTAAGGTCATTTTTTGATTTTCCTAGCTATTATCATAATAAATTGGAAAAACTGGGGGAAACGGGAAAATAGGTACAATATTAAGGAAAATATATAATGCATAAATATTTATTTTACCATAATATGACATAAATATTGCTGACAAAACCACATTAAAATCTAACTCTGTACAGAATCATTTTTCATTAGCAATGGTTAAACATTGCGTACAGATAAACATTGAAATTCTCTTCTACTACTTTCCCAATTTTTTATCTACAACAATGGCCTACCCACATGCGAAGTATGTTCGTATTTTTATTTCTGACATCACAACCTGGAATAAAACATTTGTTGTTTTTACTAATTTTAAGTATCAATTAGCTAGGTAAAATATAATAATTTTTGTTTGAATAAATAATAATAATTTATAGTATTTTGTCAACAGCTATTAATAATTACAAATTTTCACTATTTTTAGTAGGTACCTATTATAATACTCAGTTGATGTGATAAAAATGAAAAAAAAAAACAACTACTATTGTTATTGTTATCATTGTAAAAATTATATTCAAAGAATAAAATAATGGTATTTTTCGGTTATCCTACTCACTTTGTCGGCTGGTACAGTATGAATGTACCAAAATAATACCTTAATATGTTGTGTCTATTTTACAAAATATAATTTTTTTTTTTTTTTAATTATATATTAAGAAAGCATACAAGAATTGGCCTATCTAGAAGATTCCTGATTTGTCCATGGGCCAATCCACCCTGTATTATGGGTGGAATATAAGTATCTACTTAAAAATTGTTTACTTTTTTTTGCAATTTGTATAGACACTTAAAATGGTACCTATATTAATTACTATTTAAATTGTAAAATACAATGTGTTCTTCTAAGAAATAAATTTTGATTGGTAGGTCATATTTATAATTAGTAAATAAATCAAAGTCAAAATTAATCGTGCTATCTATAATTTAATTCTAACAACTTAAAGTAAGTAACTTATTTGTTTAAAAAAATATTTATATCTAATATTCCATTGCAGATCTCCCAGTGTGGAATTATGATGGAAGCTCCACATACCAATCCCAAGGGGAAAATTCTGATGTATTTTTACATCCAGTAGCAATTTTTAATGATCCATTCAGATTAATGCCCAACAAACTAGTCATGTGTGAAACATACAAACATGACCGCACTCCAACTGGTAAAATATTAAAAATTATGTTAACAGTAGACTTAAAATATTTTTTAAATATACATTTATATAGAATCAAATTATCGTAAAGTTGCGGAGGAAGTAATGATAAGAGCTGCAGACCAAAAACCGTGGTTTGGGATCGAACAAGAATACTCCTTGTTGGACACTGATGGTATACCATTTGGATGGCCAAAGGAAGGATTGCCGAGTCCTCAGGTATATTTAAATATTTGCTCTTCAATTGTGTGTTAAAGTGGATATAAAATATTATTTTCTAATATATCCATTATATTATTGTAGGGACCTTACTATTGTGGTGTTGGCTCTGATAAAGCCTATGGACGTCCAATTGTTGAGGCTCATTATCGCGCGTGTTTGTATGCTGGAATCAATATATCTGGAGAGAACGCAGAAGTTATGCCATCCCAGGTATATTCATGAGTGTAAAATATTCTTTTATCCAATCTGTATTAAAAAAGTGGTGTTGCCAGTTAAAAATCAAAAGTTTACTCTTTTAAGTGTAGCTTAAATAATTATTTTTCATTAATGATTGAAAAAAAAAACAAATTTAATTTATCTTAAATCCTTGAATCATGCCTACTTTTTTATAAACTCCAATCAGGTTATATTACCATTATACTGATACATAATTTCATGGATATAATTTTCTATTCTCACAGTTATCTGTTGTTTTTGTGTTTCATTTGAGCTAAATATTTTGATCTAATTATCAGTTTGTATATTTTAAAAAACTTCCTGAAATTGAAAAATATTTAAATATGAAGAATAGAACATATTATTGAGTTTCAAATTAAACGATTCACAAGCATTAGTGGTACACATTAAACTATTGAAAAACTCAGCCAATTTTTTGTACTGTATTTATTTTTAAGAAAGCTATAAAAATCATTTAATTGTTGATTACAGTAAGTTCCCGTTACAACGATCATCAAGGGACTGATTTTTTTTTCATTATAACTAAAATTTCGAATAAAAAAAATTTAAAAACATTATGTTATTCAAATACAAATAAATAATTCAAATGAAAATAATTTGCGAAAATAACTTTATTACAGATAATCCACAATTTTTTTTTTGAACAAGGTTTGCTGTTTTAATAAAAAGTAAATAATTTTGTAAGTGGTGAATGTTTGTAAATATGAAGTCCAGTACATCACTTTGTAATGAAATGAATGTTCGCATAACTTCCAAACTTGGTAAGGCTTCTGATGAAGTGACATTGCGCACATCGTCTTCCATCACAGCTTCTTCATGTTCACTACTTTCATCGTTGGCCTCATTTTTGCTGTCTTAAATGGATTAAATGATATCTACTTCAGTTAGTTCATAACATGTTGAAATGTTGTCATCTGCACTGAGATAATCTTCTAAATTTACATCGTCAAGAAGCCAGGTTTTCTTTTTTGCAGTGATCCAAATTTGCTCTAACCCAGATTGTTGGGTTGACATGTTTCCAATAGTTAGTTATCGTTGATTGACTAATATCATTCCAAGCTCCGCATATCCATTGATAGCTTCCTTCACATTGCATTTTCTTTGGATATTTTTCTCCAAATCTCATAAAATTTGATGTAACAAAAAAGTTCTGAAGCGTGATTTTACAGATCTGATAATACCTTGGTCAAGAGGTTTAGGTACAACTGTGCAGTTAGGTGGGAAATATTCCACGCGAATGTTATCCAATTTTGGTGGTTCATTATGTGAAGCACAGTTATCGATAAGTAGAATAATTTTTCTGTTTTTCTTTTTCATTTCTTTGATCGAAATCTATCAACCAATCAGTAAAAATTATTTGTGTCATCCATGCTTTCTTGTTAAATTTATAGATACATTGCAATGATTTACAGTTTTTAAAACAACAAGGTTTTGCGGATTTGCCGATGATGAATTTTTCTCCATTCCTGATTTGTTACGACAGAACAGAGCAGTGATGTGTTGTTTGGAAGCTTTACCCCCTACACACTTGTCTCCTTTCTGGGCTAATGTCTGTTATGGTTCAAGCTAAAAAAACACTATAGCTTCATCGGCATTAAGGACATCATTCAGGCTGTATTTATTGATGAGTGTTGCAACTTCTCCATTTCGCCGTTCGTTAACAGAATTCACTGGTATGTCACTCGCCTCTCCAGAAATGCATTTGGTCGCCACACAATACCGCTCACGAAAATGATTTAACCATCCGACACTTTCTTGGAAATTCTCAACTTCGAGTATTTTAGCAAATTCTAAGAATTTTTCTCGAATTAAAGGACCAGTCAGATGAACGAACATCTTGAAACCATTTGAATACCGCTGTATCAACATCTTCAAATTGTGCCTTACACATCCTTTTTCTGCTCAGGACAAAAACAAAAGTCTGTAGTTGTTTCAAGATGCTTTCTCTGTCCTTTAAAATGGTTGACAATGTTGATGGAAATATGCCATAATTTTTTGCACCTCGCCTTTCTTCAATCTTTTGTCTACTTCAGAAATTATGTTTTTCTTCTCTTCCAACGGAAATTTCTTTCTTTTCATTGTAAGACCCATCACATACATATGTACAATAAAGAACAAGCATAAAATATGAAAAATGACTTACATGTGAGCTTTATGAAAATATACACCCGAGTGATTATGTCGCGTTATCAATTGATGCGGAATAACACAGTCACACATAATGGCAATTTAATGACTATAATTTCATTACATTGTGTGCTTGTTATCTTTAGATTAAATTTTAAGAATGGAAAATATATTTTAACCTGTACAAATAGTTTGTTGTAACAGGAACTTACTGTATTTGGTTTTATAGTCTTATGAAATCTTCAGAAAAACATGTTTGAACTTTCTCAGATTTTAAAGTGATAATTTAAATAAAAAAACAATTTTCAAAATTGTCCAATTTCTGATATCTTTTTAAAAATTGTATTTAGACCAAATGATTGAATTTTTCTCTACATAGTTTGGCCCAAGCGAAAATGATAGTCTTTACAAACTACTTTGGGAAAAATATCTGAAATTGTCAAGTATATTACTTGTTCGAAATCAGTGTAAATTATATGAGGTGTAAAAGTCAAATTCAAATCAATAATTTTTTCTAATGCAGAAAATGTATCTTTATAAATGTGTATAGTTTTTTCAGTAAACTAAAATAATACTAGTGGTGTATAATTTCCATTTTAAGCTCCATGAATAATGAACGATTGGTAAAATGATATGGGTCAACTTTCAAATATACCATCAATATATGATACATCACTTTCAGTTAAATATTTCAAGTTAGTTTGGGTTGGAGATGATAAAATAATTTTTTCTGAATTTTAATTAAGAAACATATTTCATCTTGCTAATAACTACGTATACAAATAAACAAATTTGATCTATAATGATTATAAATATAAACAACTACATTACACTCAACTTAACCTACCTACTTTTGATTTTCAAATATAATTCTATAATAAAAATTCAATAAATATTTGGGGTATTAGTTATATACATTTTAAATTTCTGTTAACTCAACACATTCCACTTTGAATTATTGTTAATGGATAGTGGAGCATCATTTGTGTGGTAGCTCAGAAGTATTTTAGTAGTAATCTTTTAATAACTTCTCAATCCTTGTTTTGCGTTTATCCATTTTATATTATTATTGTTAAATTTTTTTTTTTTTTTTTATAATAACCTGAAGTTTTAAATGATCACGAACAAAATTAATTTTTTGGAAAAACAGGTGAATTCATTATTTATGATAAAAAAAAATCCTATACAACAAAAAATTGTAGACAGCTAACTGTGGATTTTGTAAAAACAATTTTAGATTTTGAGCTAAGTGAGTTTTATACTGAGTACAGAAATTCTACGAGAAATCTTTTTTTTAAGTATCAAGTGTAACACCTTTAATAGAAAGGAAATATTCCGGGGGTGGTACTTTGATTTTCTCAGGGGTTTTCATAATAAATGAAAAAAAACTTATGAAAACTGGGAAAATTTACCAAAATAATGTTTTTATTATTTTCAATTCAGTTTTTTTGTTGTAATTCAATTTAAAATCTTTATAAAAACTTGACATTTTTACAGAAAACAATAATATAAATGAAACTTATTATTTATCCTTTCTAGACTGGTAAATGTTTAAAACACTTGAACCATTTTTTGAGCTAATTATAGATATTTTATTTTTTAAAGTTCTTATGTAATTTTTATTAGGTAGGTATTATATAGGTGCATTAATTTGTTAGACAAAACAGAAATGTTTAAAACAAGAGGTTCATTATAAGTTTTTCTTAGTGGTCAACAAAAAAAAGTTGAGTTCAATGTAGTAAGAATTCATGAGAATTTGTATCTTAAATTTTGATGAAAATTGTAAATATTACGACTTTCAAAACATGTATAACCAAACTCTTCTCAGAATCGTTTTTAACTGATGATTAATCATTGCTAATGAAAAATATATCAAGTTCCCATCTATATCTAACCTTCTGACTTCTTACCTACAATAGTGTTGCCACTTATTTTGCGAAATATGTTGGTCTTTTTTGATTATTAATTAAAAACATACAACAAATTAAAAATAGAGAAATCATAACACAAAACTCTAATAATTATTATTATACAATTATTAAACAGAATAAAAATTATACTATTATATTATTTATATAATATTATTATTATATTATATATTAAATTTTATTAGTGGGAATTTCAAGTTGGACCATGTAAAGGTATTAGTATTGGTGATCATTTGTGGATGGCTCGGTTCTTGTTGCATCGCGTTGCTGAAGAATTTGGTATTTTAGTAACATTTGACCCTAAACCAGTACCCGGCAATTGGAATGGTGCTGGTGCCCACTGTAATTTTTCCACTGAAGCTATGAGAAAAGACAATGATGGAATACTGTATGTTTTGATATTATTAAATTCAAGGTTTTTAAGATATTTTAATTTAAATGATTTTACTATTTCTATAGTGAAATTGAAAAGGCAATCAGCAAATTGTCCAAAAAACACAAGAGACATATCATGGTTTATGATACTAATGAAGGCATGGATAACAAAAGGCGTTTGACTGGAAAACACGAGACTTCATCCTTGGATAATTTCTCTTCTGGTAAGTCCTTCGCCTTTATCCTATAGAAATATGGTCTACAGTTAGTCTAAGTACCTATTATGAAAATTATAGAAAAAAATATTTTGGAGGGAACCTCATTGAATTTCTGTATTCTAAATATACAGCTCAATATAAAATCAAAAAAACCTTTTTTTTTTCTTTTTCAAATAACCATACATTTTTTAATAATTTATAATTAAAAAAATACCTATAAGACTCCCTATAAATTCAATATTATGTAATTTTACTCTAAAATTAATATAAAGCTAGTTTTACTTAGTCTGTGTAAGCATTATTTTTACATGTTACCTGAAATTGGACTGAGGCAGTAAATGTTGGTTTGGTGTCTTCTGAAACATTTTCATATCCAAATATAAATGTAAAATAACTATTTATTTTTTTTTTTTTTAAATAGGAGTAGCTAACCGTGGTGCTAGTATTCGTATTCCCCGTCATTGTGTTGATGAACGGAAGGGTTACTTAGAAGACCGTAGACCAGCATCAAATTGTGACCCTTACAGAGTAGCTGAAGTTATGGTACGAACTGTATGCTTGGACGAATAATATGTAGATTAAAAATGTATCACTAAACTATTAAAAAAAAAAAAAAACTATAATACGGTAATATATTCATATATAATTTCTTTTATTTGGTAAAGCTTGGATCATTTAAGTACATTTTAATTTTTAAATACAGTTATTTTGTAAATTAACTAAATATTATTGTTTGAATTTTTTTCGGAATAAAATACTTTTAACACAACCATATTTCTCAGTAACTTGTTTTATTTATCAATTTTCTTTGACAAAAAAATGCTTTCTTGATTTATTGCCATAATTAATAGGGCGAACAAAATTAATATTACATAGAATAGAGTGGTGAATTTAGGGGGTAGAGGGAGAGTAGTGGAACACTGCTATTAATGGCTATTAGGAAAAGGGTCACTAAAATAGATGATTCATGTGGGAATCCATTTGCTTGTACCTACATGTATATCTATAGAGAATTATTTATTCTCATTTAAAAGATTCTTGATTTAAAAAAGTTATTAATCAATTTCAACTGTTTCAACAATTCCACAACATTTTGTTGTGGAATTATGGGTATCTTGTGTGTTGTATAGCAATTGAATAGAAATAGGGAGATAAACGTTGTAGACTTCATCTAATACATGCTACTGTGATAGTGTAATCTTTGAGCTATATTGGGGGAGGAAAATGCAAGGTTAATAACTAAAAGGTTTTTTATTACTGGGGTTAATCCTAGTTTGCTTATTAGTGTTCAATATTAGTTATTACTATCCTTTCTCTAGTATTCGTTTTATAAGAATCCAATAACGTGTTATGGCTGTCGAAGTTATCCACAATGATGAAAGGGCAAGGTAGTTATTTCATAATATTTTCAAGCTCTACAGGTTTAAAATTAATTTGATTTAGTACATACATATTACATATTATAGTAATCTAGGTATATAAATTTGAGTGTGATTGAAACTGCAACGACTTCTTAATTCGCTATGATGCCATGATGGGAATTTCTTTTCATAGGTAAGAGCTGTTAATTAGCGTACATACATCACCGCTAACCCTAAGACAGTCAGTATAATTTTTCGTAGCATACTCATATAGTTATTGCGTGACGGTAAATTTATTTTGAAACTAGTTAAATAGTTTACGATTTAAAATAGGTCTTTGATACCTATATTTTGTATATTTAGTAAAAAATTCTAATTAGTTACCTATATAAAACATGGCGCCAAAGAACGGGAAGTGTTTCTCCAGAGGAGCGGGGAATTAAGGTCAAACACATAATAATTTACGGTGCCGACAAAGTTACATGGGAAATAAAGAATTATGTGGCTTTTCGAAGAGAGAGTAAAAATTGCACTCGGAACAATTAATGTAGCCTAAGGGAGTTTTCTTTTAAATTGTAGAAGGTTAACCGACCCGCAGCAGGTAATCCGGGGATGTACATAAACGGCACGGGTATATATATGTAGGTATATAATACAGTGATATTATGTATAGGACCAGACCAAGAGAGGAAGGCGAAGAACAAATGAACTTCTTTTTAACCACGTGAATAAATTAGTCACTCATGACAAACCGTCGCGCGAGAGGGGCCAAGAGCTACTACAGTAAAGAGAGCGTATTTAAAAAAAAAAAAAAAATAATAATAATAAATAAATAAATAAAAAACAACACAACAAAAGCGAGTGGACGGAAAGTATACATATATAGCAATCGACCGACAGACAGGTATATAACTAGATAGGAAGATTGTGTAACCATCTACCGAGTCGAGGGGGAGAGAATAATCTACCGACACCCTTAACCTACCGACGTCCCGGAACGGGAAGATTGTAATTCGGTTAAAAAAAAAAAGAGGAAAAAACATTGCCTTTTTAACTCCATAAATTCGCTATCCTTGACAACAGAGACTCGGTGGGAAATTTATGTCCGTTAACGTAATTTAACTCTTCGTATATATATTTTAAATGAGATCCATTTTGTACAAAATTACTTCCGTGAAATTATTATGATCATGATGATAAACCGAACGCCAGACGAATAAAAACATTACAAAAACATATAAAATAATAGTAAAATATTCTTATAATATATTCTTGAATATTTTTTCCTTCGTGCAGGTGCAATATAGGGAGTATTTATTATATCTAACATGATAAATATACTGATAATGTCTAAAACATTTGAACCATTTTTTAAGTTATTTATAGACATTTTAATTTTGCAAATTTTTATTCGGTAGGTAAGTACTCTGTGGATAAATTTGTTAGATCAAACAGAAATGTTTGAAAATTTAACAGGAGGTTTATTATAAGTTGTACTTTGTGGTACAAAAAAAAAAAAAAAAATGTATGTAATGTAGAATTTGTAGATATATTAAATTTTGAATAGTACAGCTTTTCAAAACATGTACAATCGAACTCTGCTCAGAATCGTTTTTCGTTAGCAATGATTAATCGTTGTTTTAAGATATAGGTACATTAAATTCCTTTCTACATCCTTCCCAACTTTTTACATAAAACAGTGCGAAGTATATCCGTCGTTTTCGTATAACTTTTTGGTTGATTTCTGGGTTATTACCTTGGCAACAAGAGATCAAATTGGTTCAGTTAGGTCAGGCTTTTTGCATGCATTTCATCTACTTCTAGGTAAGAATATCCTGCTTCTATACATTTTAAGTCAACAATTTGTAAATTATCGATTGTATTCATTACATTTAACAATAAATTAATTATTAAACTATTTGTATAACTTATGTTGTTACCATTCATCTTTTCGATTTTTAATTTTTTTGTGTAGTTACTGTTAGGTATAAATGTGTATATAAGATTGGCGTACCTATTAAGTAACTATTTTGAGAATTATTTCCAATCGGTTACTGCATGAAATATGATAAATAATTACTACCTATACCTTATGATGCCACTTATTTTTGAAGTTATTATTTTCGAGGCACGGAGGCCAAACATTTGTTCCAATACATCTATAAATATTGCCTGTAAAGTTTGAACTCGATCGAAAATAATTAACACGTGACGACGTGAACTCAAATCTTTATGAAAAACATGGAATTTCACGTTTTTTCATATATCTGCTTACATTTTTGTTTTCTAAAAAATGCTATAGAACAATATTGTAGCACCAATTATTTTATAAAAAAAAAATTTATTTTGACATTTTTTTCAATAGTGATCCTTTTCTTGTGAAATCAAGAAAAATATGCCTATTATGCTGGTATATTATGAAAATAATTTATTTTTAGTTTTAGCGAATTTTCTATATTTTATTGATACCTAAAAAATAACTGTAACTATTATTGTGTATTAAATAATGTTCTAAAACGAATAAACCAACAAATTTCTGTAAAATCCTTCTTTAGAAAATAAGGAATAACTATGAAAATACTGAAATTACCCTGCCTGCACTTTTCAAAATTTGACAAAAATATAATAACGATTTATTATAATAAAAATAAAAGGCATATCGTAAAAAAATGCATACTGAAGGGTGGGTAACATTTACTTTAAAAGCTAACGAACACGAAAGGAAAACTTACTCTAAGATATTAAATTCTTTGTTCTTATCTTTTTTACTCATTATGCCTACTATTGTAGTAGCCATAACCAAGTCCCCGAGGATAACTTATCTTAAATAATGCTCGGGAGAATCAAAAATTTTAAATAATAAGACAGAACATTTTTCCTCTTAAATTTAATACTTCAAAAGAAATTAGAAAGTGCGTGGAAACTGGAAATATCGACCTTTTAAAATAATAGAGTAATACATAATATATAATTATTATCATTATTATTTAATAGAAGTGTAACATTACCTTTGTTATGTAAAATTAATCAAACAATAACTACTAAGTACTTAACTTAATTGGATTGCAGTATTACGTTATTATATGAGTATTACATACACGAGAATGAGAAATTTTATTTGGTACCTATATAGCGCATTTAGGCCAAAAAAGTGATAATAGCGAAAAAATGCGGATAAATAAAATAGACGGTAATATTGGCGATAATATTCATATATTGTGTTATGTACACAATATTAGGAAATAATCCATTGAGAATAATGAATTGTATACGGTTATTATAGGGGTCTAGTTCACTTCGTCGCCAACGTTTCACCGATGATCATACTTCATTTCACTGCGAGACTTACACATTAATTTACATTTTCTTTTTTTAAACTCTTAGTTCACCTTAACCTGTTAATCTGTTAACTACCCCTGGGAATTTCCGAAAGTGAAAAAATGAAAAGGGGGTTAGGGTTACGACTTTAAGACCCCCGCCATGTCACCCAAATTCCAAGAAAATACTGTAAGAAAAGTGGTACAGTAATGCTTAAATCAAAGTAATAGTAGGTATTGTAGCGTATTTACGGGGAGAGAGGATGTTGAGTGTGTCTCCTCAAGAGGTATACAACTTCTTTAGTTTTATAATATGATTTAGTATAATTTATAATTGATGCACTCAAAAGTGATGACTTAGTAGTGCTAATGCCTATCCCCCTTAAAATTAAATCGGCGTAACTTAGTTGTTTTTTAACGTTCTTGAATAGGATCTCCACTAGAAGATCTGTTATGGGCACTTCATATTAAAAGTACCCAACCCCCCCCCCTCTTCTGATTTTTCGATAAAGTATATCTCGGTGGGATTTAATGATAGAAGAACGGTTTTAACGGTAAAAAATTTGTTTTCACACCATACACAAGCCCCCTTCCATAATTTGATACCATTATATTATTCTTGCCATGGAAACTAGCTGGAAATTCTTCCGTTCATTACCAAATTTCGGAAACGAACCCTGATTTTTCTTTACCTCATTCTTCTTTACTTCATTCTCACCAAATTAAGTATCAATTGGAAGGGATCGTAAAAAAGATTTCACCCCAAAATGGCCGGTGTTTCGGCGGGTCATAGATTATCATCTCTCCAAAATTTTCCCGAAAGTATAGAAATCAAAACTAGGTAAATGTTGTTTTAACAAACGATAAAAAGGGAGTAAAGGTTAACTCTCCCTCTCCCCTCGGTTCCAGAAAAATAAACCGAAATATAATAAATGTAGGTACAGTATAGTGCCTATCTAAGTCAAATTAGGTAAGTACAGTGGTGTATGTACGGGAAATATTGTGGGTTTTCCCTTAGAAGCACACAATTTCTATACAGTAGTAAGTATACCTATGACAATGTAAATATGTTGTTTTATGCGTCAGA